AAAAAAAAAAAAAAAAAGAAATTTTGTACAATAGACAGTATTCATAGTTTGTTGATGAATATTAAAGGTATAATCAATATGAGACATAAACAGTATAAGCATACCTTGCAATTGCTAAGTGATAGAAAAATTATACATAAATGAAACCAATTTTAAAATGCTATTTGTCCATCTGAAAAAAACACATAAAATATAAAATATAATAATATATGTATCTGAGAAATGAAAATATAAATGATATTTATTTTTCCTTATATTTTTTGCTACTTTTTAAATGACTGCTTGGAACTCTGTTGCTTGTAATTGAGAAAAATTATATTACTTTATAAAATGAAGATAGAATGTCTCAATGAGTGTAATTGGAATTACATATGAGAAAACTCATGTTTTATTTATTATTTTTTATTTTTTTGTAGTTCCAAGAATCAAACTCAACACCCTAACATGTTAGACATGCGATGTACCATTGATCTCTACTCATAGCCTGCAATGACTATTTTAATCTTCCCCTAAATGAAATTATTTATTGGAATTACAATGGGAAGATATAGCAGAATTGGGTCTAGTATTATTATTTTGAATCCTGTATTTTATCAATTGTTGTAATAGTTGATAAGTCCAGTTAATACATCTAGTTAACTTTGGAAAAGTTAACTTTGAGAAATGTGAAAATGGATTATACATTAGCTTAGGCACATTAAACTTTATGGGTGATTTTTTTTTTCTAGTAATTCAGGCATCTGATTGTTCTGTCACTGTTCGGGGGCAGTGATCTTTACTTTTTGGAAGAATGGGCCATCTAGAATTAGTTTTACTTTAGGAGTTTTCCTCCAGTTGCCTGAGTTTCCAAAATGCAGCTAATAGATTCATAAAGAATTTCCAATGACCTGCAATAAAGAAAAAAGAAAAAGCAATATTTAATAAATATGACTCTGTGTCAGTATTAAGAAAACTTCATTTTGGAGTAATGCTGGATATAAAAAGAAGCCTTCTTTTTTACATACAATTTAAAAGGGATCAGATTTTAATAAATACCTTTACGAATTTCTGTTTTATTGACTAAAAATAGATATCGTTCTCCACTGAGGTGTAGTTTCAAGAGAACCCAAATATTCTTGTAGTACAGGATATTCCACAAGAAATGCTTAATGAATAAAAAGCAAGGGAGGAAACTTTAGATTTCTCTCAATATTCATTTCTGTGAGTTTGTGGTTCAGCCCTCCAAAACATGAAAAACTCTGTATCACCAACTACTGCTTTGTTTATCTTCTCTTAGTTAACTCAGTCTTGACACAAATAAGCTAAGCTAACTACATTTACTTCAATAATTTTCACCAGATCTTATAACAAAACATCCAGATGTATATGTTTAACAAAGCAAGTTTTTCTCATGTCCACATTAATATCCTAAGATTAAAGGTAGCTCTCAACTTCATTTCTGCTTCCTATTAGTTTTATATTTCCCACTACACACACCCACACACACACACACACGTATGTGCACACACAAACACATTTACTCACCCCCCTGCACACATACACACCAATGCACTCCCATTTTATGAGGAAATACAACATAACAGCATCTCTCTCCAACTTACCTGCTGTACTTTTTCCATTAGGAAGATTAAACTGAAAACTGTAGCCCCACACTCACCAGTCTTTACCACCTAGATTATTACATCAATTATAATATAATGTATAATAATATTTTGGGGAATGAAATAAACTCCAGGCAGGAACCCACCTCCAGCAATTCAGTCAGCAGAAGAATGTATTTATTGCTAGAGCAAGCTTTCTTTAACTATGTGACTTTCTGAGAGTGAGAGCTATTTTCTCTTT